CCCCCCCCCGGACACAGGCACTTGGGACAGTCAATAAAAATTGAAAATAATATGAACGCACATTCACAAATAGGCCCTATACTCCCTATTACCGTACCTCTCAATTACAGTTCCACTGTTGCGTCACTGTATATCAACTTTCCTTCATAAAAACCTATGTAAAAACTAACGCCGAACGCTCCCGCACTCGCCGCTGCGAGTGTGCTGTGTCACCATAATAACTGATATAATATATATATATAAAGTAAAACCTGTGGTAGTGGCCACCATCTCTATAGAACGACCACCTATCCGTAAAGACCACTTGGCATTCCCAGGCGTTTGGCAGTTATATACAGTGAAACCACAATTATAGAACGGCCGGCCGTCTGTCCATACAAGCCGTTTGTATACTGGTTTGACGATATCAAGAGCTCATAATAGAGACTATTATATATATATATATTATATATAGAGTCTCTATTATGAGCTCTTGACGATATGTATGGGTGTGTTCGATCAACTTTTGCAGGGAATCAAATGGCAAGGTGGTGCAGGGTGTGGTAAAGACTCTTGCTCTGGGTGAGGAGGATTATAGCAGAGTGCAGAGGACTGCGTCTCTGGGAGCCTACATCTCAGCTAAGTATGTCGCGCCAGCTTGCAATCTATATGCGCTAATTACTCCTAGTAAATGTGTAAACGCTGTGATGTACCATTCTGTGCTTTCACCCTTTAAAACACAAGTAGGGCCTAAATAACAAGAAACGTAACGTATTTTTTACAGTAAAAATACATCTGAATATTGACGCATATTCGACGTTGAAAATATGTTGCAATATTGACGCATTTTGACGTTGAAAATGCGTCTTAATATTGTCACATTTTTAATGTTGAAAATATGTCGCAATATTGATGTATTTTTGACGTTTAACATACGTCTCAATATTGACATAATATATTTCATGTTGAAAATGTGACTCAATGTTGACGGTATTTCTAATGTTTAACTTACGTCTCAAATATTTTGATGTATATTTGACATTGGAAATACGTGTCAGTATTGCCAAATTTTTTCATTACAAATTCGTATCAATATTGATGTCCTGTTACAGATTAACATAACATATATGCTGAACGTCACTTCTCTTTGAACTACTCTGAATTACTTTATGCTATAGATCTATGCTCTGAACTTCTTTGACTCTGAATCTCGATTTTCTTTGTGCACCCCCTTTTTAGCTCGCCTTGACGTCGTCAAGATGAGCTATTAATTGCCATGGGGTGTCGTCCGTCGTCCGTCCGTCCGTCCGTCCGTCCGTCCGTCCATTTGTCCGTCCATCCGCCCGTCCGTCCGTCCGTCCGTCAACATTTGGCTACGGTCAACGATAACTCAAGAACAGTTTGACCTACATGTTTCAAATTGCATATAGTTGTTACTCCTATGGGAGAGGTTTGAACGTCCTATTTTGGAGCACGCCAGTCGATCCATACATCGAGCCAACGTCACACTTTTTGGCAAAAATGGAAATGGCTATAAGTCAGTTTCAGTTCAATTGGATTTTCGCTTCATTTCTGGTATGTGAAGATGAAGACGGCCCCAAAACATATATCACATCAGGTTTTGATTTTTTTTAAATTATGCAATTAGTAGATTTTTGGCAAATTTCAACTATGCATTTCAGTGTCTGCGCTACGCGTCTCCACGTTAACTCAAGCCACCGTTTGACCACACATGTTCAAATTTGCAATACAGTTGTTACTGCCCTATGGGGAGAGATTGAACGTCCTATTTTGGAGCCACGCAAGTCGATCCTATTCGAGCGCCACATCTATTGTTTTCGCAAAAATGGAATATGCGCATAAGTCAGTTTCAGGTTCATGGAAGTTTTGCTCATGTTCTAGTATGTGAATCGAATTAGGACTGGCCCCAAAACATATCACACGGGTTTTGATTTTTTTATTATTATGCAAATTAGGTAGATTTTTGGCAATTTCACTATGCATTTCGAGTGTTTGCCTACGGTCGAACGATAACTCAAGAACCGTATCTTGACGCCACTATATTTCATAATGCATACAGTTGTTTTACTCCTATGGCAGAGATTTGAACGTCTATTTTGTGAGGCACAACTCCAGTCCAAACCCTATCCTTTCGAGCAGCACCAACTTTTTGGTCAAAAATTTGAAAAATGACGAGGGTGTTTTCTTATTAATTCATTTAAAAGCAAAAGGATTGTAATATCTTATAAACTTTTATATAGTTTCAGTTATAATATGGATAAATTTGCCCTAAAATGAATATCGTTCGGTTAAATAGCATTTATGTATAAATATAATTGCACTTTTGTGATTAGCCCTCGATCTGTAACGTGCCAAAATAAATTGTCAAATACGCAACTTTTCGAGGTGGCAGCACGGTGCGCGGGTGTCATGACGCCGTTCAAATTTCGTAGCGTTGATGTGTAATTAATTATAACAATTAAATAGGTATCTGGTAACAAATACGTGTGGGTATAGACGATTTGTTATACAGTAAGTACAGTTGTATGCAGTAAAATCCTAGAGGCTACTGTCCCTTTAATTTGTGTTTGTCACGCACACTTCTGAACTTGCGTGCGTGGTTGCCGAATTGCCGTTTGTTTGCATGCTTGCGTGCATGTGCTTTTGTTCATATGGGCCATTGTAACGATTTAGCTACAATTCTGCATGCACACAACGTCGGGTTGTAATTCTGCAGATGTTGAAGCTGATAGTGTCAGGTGTAATCTGCATGACATTCACGAACTGCGCTTGCCATGTTCACAAAACTCATATATTGCAAGCGCTGACGTTTCTTAAGTTTACTGGTTCACGGTTCAAGAGCGGCGTTACAAGAGGATTACCATAGTAGTTGCACGATGGCCTTCGGCTATGGCATATCGCGTTGGGACAAGTCCATTATGGATTACCAGAGTTCATGGGATGAGCATGTTCAGAATTCCACGGCTAGATAGAGGCCAGAATGTTGTGGTAATTTCATAGCTGTTTATTATCAGAATTGTGCCAAATAAAAACATGACGAAAAGTTACGACAGTAACTCATCATGTGCCCAATGACACGTGTCTCGTAATAAGTAACCATGGCTGCATCGGCAGCTTTCTTTGGCAAGGCAGCAATTACCTATAATGATACATCAACATCTAATATTATATATGATATGGTATACGTGTGATATATATGATATATGATGTATCATCTACTGTAATGATACATCAACAAATTTCTTATGCTTATAATTTTAACTTAAATGTTTATAACCCCTCACAGATGCGCACGGATGTGGTTTTTATTGTTTAAAGCATATCAGTTTTGTGCTTTGCTTTTATCTCCATTCCCCTGTACTTTCCGTTTTCTCGAGATTGAAAGTTCTCTGGGGGAGAAGAATGGCTAATGGCAGCATGTCACTGTATATGAGCCATGTGCGCTGTGTTCCTTCGCAGGCCGCGCAACACGCACGAGTTTGTGGTGAGCGTGAACGTTCCCGCGCGGTCAAGCATCGCGTGTCGTCTGCAGTATGAAGAGCTGCTGGAGCGTCGCCTAGGCACCTACCATCACGTGCTCGACATGAAACCGGGACAGATTGCCCCAGATTATAGGGTACGATTGTGTTCACTCTGTACGCATCCAGCCCAGCCAGCCATTGATGTGGATGGAATAGATGTGAAGGCGACGATACCTCGGGAGGAGTTTTTTAACGTGTAGACTAGTCGTGTGAGTTTTGGACTGGTGATCCAGAAGTAAATTCTATTTAAGTGTGATGTAGAATATTATAATAGGATCTGTGTGAACTCCATGCAGCTGTTTGTGAGGATTGTGCAGAGCGTGCTAATAAGCTGCTATAAGGCGAGCTATAAAGCGTGCTATAAAGCGAGCTATGCATGGTAAAGGCATTGACAATACTTCATCTTATTCGCCCATGCAGACAGCTGATGTTATTGAACGAGAACAGCTAGTGTGACATATCAGAACTGATCAACTATTGCTATTTCTCTTGTGGTTTGTTTTATGTTAGTTTATCACTAATCAAGGCTTGTGGTATTTCATAATTACTCGTATCATGTCTTCACTTCATTAGTGTGTGGCTATGCGTATTGTGTGGTAGGTATTGTATGCTTGTGTTAGTGGCCAGGGAGTTTCCTACCATGGCGACCTCTTAACAGGTGGATGTATACATTGAAGAGAGTCAGCCAGTGGTGTTACTGGAGATGCCCAAGCTGAGAACCAGGAACGCAATTCTGAAGCTGGCCAATGATACCGGTAACATATAACGGTGACATATTGCCAACCTTTCTTGTCGCTCGCTCTATCCCTACCTCTCTCCATTACTCAGTCTACTTCTCTACCCACTTATCTAAAAAAAATTCTACTTCTCAAAGAAGGAAAAGATAAATAAGTTGGACGATGAGCTAGCTAGAGACGAAGAAAAAGAACTAGATAGCTTACATCTCTTGCTGTTTGTTATGGGTTTGTCATATGTGATTTATGAAGCGTGCAATATGGTATCAACTAGCTTGCATGTGTAAACGCGACACGTGCGAATTTGCTAGTCGCACTGCCATTGAATTAAGATACGCAGTAAACAGGAGCTGGCTGCAACTTGTTAGTGGCTGTACACTTGCGGCAAAGTGGGAGAAGAAGTCAGAAGCAGTAGACTTGTATAGCCCGCATCACTGCTCTGTAAACAGAGACGAGTTTCTCGCGTTCATAAACAAACACGGGCCAAGTGTGTTTGCGCGAGCGTTCACAAATACGCTTCAGCCGACGACGACAGGCGTAGTTCAGGCACGTGAACTTGTCTACTCTGCTGCTGAGGGGTTCATTCCTGATTAACTACATGCTTATATCGTGATCGCCTCCTTTCTCATCTGTATCACTGCATACATCCTACTTCCCTGGGTCCTAGGTTCCTAGTTGCAATTAAACAGGCGTTGACCGTTTATTTTTGTAGAAATATAATTATAGTGTTCCATAACAATTATTTCACCACCCTCAGCGGTTTTAACTATAATTATCGTTAACTACTATTTTTACGAAAACGAATTGGGTAGAATTAACAGTGATGCTCATCAAAAATACTAGTGATAATTGGATATTAACTATTGACTATTTCAAACTTGAAATAATGTTAACTCATGATTCAATAGCGTCCTTTTTATAAAATTGTTGCTTGTTGTAATTATTATTATTATTATTATTATTATTATTAACATTATTATTATTATTATTATTATTATTATTATTATTATGTTTTAACACAATAATTAATTGCTTTCCAGATAACGGTAAGGTGAATGTGTATCGTTATCCTACGACTGACTCTGGCTATGGCATTCATTTGTCGTACTACCCGTCACCACGGCAACAGGCACAGCAGACGAACGAGGGAATAGATGCGCAGCTTGTCATCAAGTATGATGTGGAGAGGAGGCAGGATGCAGGAGAGCTGCAG